TGTTGAGCTTGTTAGTGCTTTGTAATCATCAAAACATCAAATATATAAAATTGGAAACCTATGGTTTAACATGTTAAATAGTGCCCGATTTGTCAGAAAATTAAGCCCCAAAATCATGCACCTTATGGGTTGCTACAACCCATTACACCCCCTAATTCCCTTTGGACTGACTATCCATGGATTTCATCATCCATCTACCACAATCTAATGGTTTTACTGCTATTCTTGTAGTGGTAGATCGATTCTCAAAAGAAGGGCATTTTACAGCATTACATACCAATTATACAGCTTCCCAGGTAGGAAAATTTATTTGGGACTCAGTGGGCAAACTTCTTCGGTTTCCTCGTACAATAATTTCATATCGTGACCCCATCTTCTTGAGTGCCTTCTAGCAGAATTTATTCCAGCTTCAAGGCACAACCCTGCTGTTACGATATGATAGATCGATCTGTCCAATCAGAGATTGGTATGTTAATATGGGATCTGTTTTCCCTCTCTCAGGTACCTATAGGAGAGGTATCCTAAAGATAAGCGGATCACTGTGCACTATAATATAACGACATAGTCAAGACATGGGGTGTGTGCACAGTGACAAGCTAAGAGAGAGGGTTTAGAATGTGTGTACCTTATTGGTTTAACCCCTTATTTATAGATGGGTTATCTGGCAGGAGTGGACTTTTGGGCCTCTCAGGAGCATTGGGGGTTCAATTGTTGATCCATTGCTGCCATAGTAGGATTAGCATAATTAAGAAATGTTTCCTTAATTCCCTCTTAGCTGTTAGCCCTATTTGGGCCTTCTAGAATGTAGGCCTTTGTCAGGTCCATAACAGTTTCCCCCCAGCCCGGTAGTTTGGTTGTCCAGGCGGTCGGGGTGAATTGTCTTGCCTTTTGCTTCAGGTTTTCTGCTGAGCTGAGAGAATTTGAGTTTTTGTAAACTTTTTGCATATATGTTCCTTACATCTCAGGCTTTTTAAACCGGGGTCGTCATTGCCCCTTATCTCGGCGAGTTGATCATAAACCATGGAAAATATTTCATGTATTTGTATACCGAGTTTGGGATGAGCTTGAGTGGTTGGGATCCAACTGCGAGTTGTCCCCAAGCATCATTCCATACGCACACGTCTTGAGCTTGTAGCTTTCTTCTGGAACCGGGAATGATTTTCCCTTGTCAACTATGTGGACGGGTTATGCATGAACCCGACAAGATATTCTGCGAATGTGCTTGAGTAGTTGGGATCCAACTGGCGAGTTGCCCCCAAGCATCATCCATGTTACCCGGCTAAAAGTTTCCCCCCAGCCCGGTAGTTTGATTGTCCAGGCTGCCGGGATGAAATAGCAGTAATCTCTACATTTGAATTTCCTTTGCATATTTTATTCAAGTTAGCAGTTGAATTCTTGCTTTGACTTGGCATCTTTATTGAAGCAATTTTCTTTGTGTTGGAACTTTTCTTGGTCGACTTAATTGGGTCAGCGACTGCAGATATTATCTCTGCCATTCATTCAGCTGGTTTTAGTGAACCGAGTATTGAATATGTTGCTTCCATATTTCTCCCTCAACCTATTTTGGCTAAGGTGGTGCTTTGGTGAGGTAGTGTTTGCCTCCTTTTAACATCGAGCTCGTAGTTGTTCCTTCTGAGGCTTTCGCTTTGAGCCCAACTTCTTGCACTGTGGCTTTATTGATTCAGATTTAGCTTTTCAGCGTTAACTGAACAAAATGACCTAGCCAAGGTCTTTCATGCAGATTCCTCTTTTTGGTTTTAACCCAATTTCCTTAAGTAGGTTTTCAAATTTGAGGCGTCATGGTGACTTGATCAAGGTCGTACCAATCTACCCCTTATTTTTCAAGCCTGATTTGATTTATCACAGCTTGTACACGTTTATTTTGACAACATTTAGGATTCGAAAGCGTCCTTTCGTTTTCCTATGCCTCGGCTAGAAGCCACAATCCTGCAGTGTGCTTTTTATTTTTAACCCATTTTCTATCCAGGTTCTTGCACGTTGCTAGACGTAGGTTTCCAATACCTTGGCTTTATAATATTTGACGTAGGTGTCATTTTTTGACTTCGTCTTGTTTCCTCGTTTTGACTTGTGAGCCATTTCAGATTGGGGTGTGATCCTTTTTCTAGGATCCATCTCTCCAAACCTGTCTTCATTTTTTACCCCATATTTTTATCATGGGTCTTTATCCCGGATTGGGGTGTGATCCTTTTTCTAGGATCACATATCTCCAAACTCGTCTTCATTTTATCGCGGATTGGGGCGTGATCCTTTTTCCCAGGATCCCGTCTCTCCAAATCCGTCTTCATTCCATCGCGGATATGGATATGATCCTATTTGTAGGATCACATCTCTCCAAACCCGTCTTCGTATTATCGCAGGTTGGAGTGTGACCCTTTTTTCTAGGATCACATCTCTCCAAACCCGTTTTCATTTTATCGCGGATTGGGGCGTGATCCTTTTTCCCAAGATCCCGTCTCTCCGAATCTGTCTTCATTCCATCGCGGATTGGGGTGTGATCCTATTTCTAGGATCACATCTCTCCAAACCCGTCTTCATTTTATCGCGGGTTGGAGAGTGATCCTTTTTTCCAGGACTCCATATCTCCAAACCCGTCTTCATATTATCGCGGGTTGGAGTGTGATCCTTTTTTCTAGGATTACATCCCTCCAAACCCGTCTTCATATTATCGCGGGTTGGAGTGTGATCCTTTTTTCTAGGATCACATCTCTCCAAACTCGTCTTCATTTTATCGCAGATTGGGGCGTGATCCTTTTTCCCAGGATCCCGTCTCTCCAAATCTGTCTTCATTCCATCACGGATTGGGGTGTGATCCTTTTTCTAGGATCCCATCTCTCCAAACCCGTCTTCATTTTATCGCAGATCGGGGCGTGATCCTTTTTCCCAGGATCCCGTTTCTCCAAATCCATCTTCATTCCATCGCAGATTGGGGTGTGATACTTTTTCTAGGATCCCATCTCTCCAAACCTGTTTTCATTCTTTATCCGAATTTTTATCCTGCGTTGTTGACCCTCAGTCCGAAAGTCTGGGTGTTCGGGATATAGGGTTTCTGTGCGTTACTTTTTATCGCATTTGCAAATATTTTATTCTTAGTGTCTGGAAGTCGGTCATGTTCATGCTCCGAGCCTTCGTTTTTGTGATGTATGGCTTCAACTTTATGTCGAATTCTTTCTTCAGACATCCTTCTTTGCTTTCCTACCCGGTAGTTAGGGTGTCCAAAGCAAAGTCTGTTGAAACATAATCTTGTTGGTCAAACTTTCGTGACCGAGGTCTCTATTGGAAGTAGGAAAGTTTTTCCGTTTGACCTCTTTGCCAAAGTTTTATTACTGTCGTCGGGATCGTGGCGGTTCATTGATCCATGTTCTGAATTCATGGATTATTGTTGATCCGTGTTTTGGATTTATTTTTTCTTATTCTGTTCTTTCTTCAGTGTCAGGCCTCATGAGCCGTGTACCGTGTATGCTATTTCAACATTCCTCCCTCAACCTTTTTGGTCGAGGTACGTAGCTCGGACTAGTTGACCAGTCTTTTTGACTGTCGTACCAAGATCTTGACATATGAGGATTGTTGCTTTCTTCTTTAAATTTTGGTTGTATTCCTGCACTTGCCCCCCAGTCCGGCAGTCGGGAAATCCGGGTTGTCGGGCTGTATTACTTTAATTCAAGCATTTTTATGTCGGAATACTGACTTGCTTTTGCAATTTTCCTTTTTTGTTGATATGAGGATCTTTGAGATCCCTTTTCATTGATGTTGCGGGGTTTTGTTCCCGGTTCTCCGCATGTTTCGTTTGCAAAGTTGAATTTAGCCCAGTTTTATATACTGTAGATTTATTCACTTGAGATCGGCTTTGCCAGAATCTCATTGTGATATCGTCTTCTGTTCCAACCCGGCAGTGCATACCGTGTGTTTCACAAATTTTGATTTGATCAAAATCATTCACCTTTTTGAGTCCGGCTTGCATTGCCGCGACGTTTAGATAGAACAGGGTGAGACTCCCGCTGAATGATTTTGCCTGTATACTCGCATCTTGAGTTTTATGCCTCCCTGATAACTTAGATATATTTTTCTAAGTATTCGAAGTTCATCAGATTCCAGAGTTGCCTGAAGTATTCGTTAAATACTTCTAAGGACGTAGCATTCTCTTGATTTTGATAAACAAGCTTGTATACTTGTTATCTAGGTTTGTAACTTAGGCAATTTTCTAAGAATATCAAACCTTACCCGAGTTGTCCCTCATCCGAGACGGGTTATTTTTACAACTCGAATAAATTCTTATTTTCGCAACTCGTGCATTTTATGAGTTCCGGTATATTGACCTGGCCGAGGTCAAAGCATTATACGGATTCCGCTTTTTGTCACTCTCTGTGATGCATGTTTGTTTTTACTTAACGTTTTGCTAAGTCAGCATTGATGAAGGTGATTATTGTCGCCTTCAATCATGACCTGGGTTTCATAACCCGGTACTATCCAAGATAAAGGCAGTATTGTCACATGTCCCACTTGGGTCTTTTGACTTTAGTACGGAGCATTTCGACTTAATATCTTTTTAAAAAAAATAAAAAGGATTTCGAGTGTCTAATTTAAAAATAAAACTAGTTGATTACCCGTGCGATGCACGGAGAAAAAAGAAATCGATTTGTTTGTCCCGTAAACGAATTAATAAAAAAATCGGTTTGTTCGTATGACATAAACGTGTAACTTTTAAGGTAGGAACAAAAAAAGAATATAATAATTTAAACACAGTAAATTCCATGATTGACAACAAAATCTCCATTAAAAAAAAACTAAATATCATGTTGACAGCAATATAATAAGAAATATGCCCAACCGATACTCACAACAGTTGTAAATTATCGTCCGCCATGCACTATTGGTATTTGCTGCTGTTCGAAATGAATCATAAACAATATATAAACAATAATTGGAAAAGAAAAAATTATTGAAGGGAATTATATAGTTTGTGGTAGATGAATAATTCAGAATTACAATGAAAAACCTTTGACTCTGAAAAATGACAAGGGAATAATATACTGATTATGCCTCGAATACTGAATCTGCATAACAATAAAAAATTAGCAGAAATCAGGCATAACAACTAAAGGAAATCAACAAAGAAGATTAAAAAATATTTTCTGATAAAAAATTGAGATCTTACCTGATACCAAACAACAATGTTATCTTTTTGTAGAAATAACCAAGTATACTACACTAATCTTTGAAATACTTCCTTGTAGACGATGTTAAAGGTAGTATTTGTAACGCAACCATTTTCATCAAGTATCAGCATCTTCAATCCATGTCTGCTCTTTACTCTAGATAGTGCCACATATAATTGCCCATGAGTGAAGACAGGCCTAGGAAGATAAATGCCAACATGAGACAACGACTGTCCTTGACTTTTGTTGATAGTCATTGCAAACGAAACTACCAAGGGGAATTGTCTTTTTTGGAAGTTTACTGGAAATGTATGACCCGATGGGCTGATCGTCATTCTAGGGATTAACACAGTATCTCCTATATTGTTTCCTGTAAGAACAATTGCCTCAACAACATGATTCCCCAACTTTATAATAAGTAATCTCGTACCGTTGCATAAACCTCTTGATTGATCAATATTTCTCAATAGCATCGCCGGTACTTTAACCTTCAAAGTTAATTTATGATCAGGAATCCCCGAACATGAGAATGTATTTAAGATAGCAGGGGAGATTTCGCCATCCTCAAGAGATGAATTACCGTCTTGTTTCAAAACCTTATCTGAACTCAAAAATGTCCTTTCTTCACCCAGAATCACAGCCATTAGGTGCTCGTTTAACATGGCAACATCGGACAATTTAGGAGTCAGAAGAGCACGTTCTTTAAAGAAAGAAGGATCTAATATATTATCCATCAGATTCGGGTAAACAAAATCAACAATATCTGAAAGTGGGTCTTCTGAACCTTTGATCAACAATTCATCTGGAATTGTTATAATAGATTCTCCATCAACATCATCCCCAAGATCACCATCTCCTATTTTAAGCAGCCACTCAGAAAATTCTTTTATTTCCAACAAATTATTAGTGCTACTTCCAGAATTGAGACGCATGTTCTTGGTCAAAGATAACAGATGACAATGGGACCATAGATAGGAAGAATTGATGGTTGCATGAACTATATCTTGTCTACTGCCATTTGGAATGACAGGTAATATTTGCCGAAAGTCACCTCCTAGAACGACAACTTTTCAGCCAAAGGGCATATCAACACAGCTGGTATCATAAAATCTAAGAACATCTCTAAGTGTTCTATCAAGAGCCTCAAAGCAAAATTTGTGTACCATCGGTGCTTCATCCCAAATGATTAACTTTGTTTTTGGCAACAACTCTGCCAAAGTAGAATTTTATTTTATATTACATGTTGAATCTTCGGTGATCTATATAGGAATACGAAATCTAGAATGTGTCGTACGTCCTCCAGGAAGAAGAAGAGAAGCAATTCCGCTAGAAGCAACATTAAGCACTATTTCAGCTCGAGATCGAACAAATGCTGACAGGGTGTTCCAAATAAATGTTTTTCCAGTCCCACCAAAGCCGTACAGGAAAAAAAAATCCTCTTTTACCTGCCGAAACATCTAAAATTATTTTGTCATAAACAACCCTCTACTCATCAGTGAGTGAATTCAGTAGTCTGTCATGCTCTTCTTTCAAACAGAAATTGTCATACAACAATTCATCCATCACCAATCTATTCTGCATATCCAATAAAGATTCACAGATGATGCTCGGCATGGATGGGTAATCAGAGAGGCATTTACCGTTGCTTTGCAACACCTTATCGATTTCTGCAAGGGTTATGTTTTTTATAGAATCCTCTGTAAGCAAAGCATCTGAAAAAAATTGAAAAATACAAAAAAAAAAGGATTAACAAAGACAAAGTTGGTGAGGAGAGAAAAATAAAGCAAAATTATGAACAAAGCAGAGGGTGTGAAACATAATGAAATTTTTTAACCTAATATTAAGAATAGGACTGTGTATAATGTATATATGTAATTTTATTATGAAGGAACAAAAAATGCTCACATTTTTTCGAAGGTCAAGTGAATTAAACATAAGAAAACTGTTTGCATAAATGAATGCACGATACAGAACGGAAAGAATATTAATTATAGTGCACAATACACATAAATGAATGCACAAAATTTGTTCCGGACAATTACCTTCACATCCAATTCTTTGCCTATGCCGATAAAGAACATCGTCAGATAGTAATTCCCAGACTTTTTGGAAAACATTTTCAGGCCTGTTCATTGAGTTACCAAATAACAATAAGGCAAACAGATTTCTCAGATAAGTTGCTGACCCCCAAGAACTTGCCTCCTTAATTGCATCAATGTAATCATTGTCATCATCCAAAAGCCCCAAAGAATAGAAGGCATCCTTATATGTAGGAAAAAGCACCCCATTGACCGTTCTCAAATCTTCATAACTTGTACAACCCTTTTGAAAATTAAGTAAAGTTCGGAGATAGGAATCTTCTCCATTATTGGCAGAAAAATGATTTATTCTTCCAATTGAAAATCCTTGTTTTCTGGGATGCCATTTATGCGTACTTTCTTTATATACAAATTGAGTTGGATACTCTGCATAAGTAAGATTCCTACCTTCTGGATATTTTTTATTTGCATCCATCCAAGACTCGAACATTGATTGTCTAGACTCCACCCTAGTCTTGACATCGGTTATTGAAGCATGATCACTAAAAACAACGCTTTTTTCATTGGGTAGGTGAAATGGCAATCGCTAAACAGGGGGGAATGTGTAATGAATCTCAAATTCGAATATTCTCCAAGTAGCTTCACATGCGGACACATACCTATCATATATAAGCAATAAATTCAAATTAAGTTAGAAAAAGGTTATTCCAAGTAACGAAAGGAAACATAACCGATATGAATTCAACAACCTGCAATCATAAAACATTTTGATTTCATCATCTAAATGATTTATAGCAGCTGTCACCCTTTCTTGCCCTTTATGGATGTATTTAAATAGATATTTAATGGCACTACTCTGACAAGTATATTCAACATTGATATGCGCTTGATATTTTAGAAGAAGTTTTGCATTATACGGCACAACATAACGGTTATCAAGTTCAACGCCATTCTTTTTGACAACACTCCCATCATAAGTTAATTCACAAAGAAACTTCTTATGTTCATAGTAAGCATTGTAAAAAGAAATGAACAACAACAAAGAAACTTTCTCCAACATAAGTTAATTCACAAAACGTTATATTCAGATCTTGTCATATACTTTTATGTACCATGTAGAAGAATTATATCAATTGATTTTTTTTCATACAGATTCCTAAATTTTCACAATTTTTTATGCAGCTCATGTTCATCGTGGAAAAAAAAAACAAAGAAACTTCTGTAACAGAAAATAAACATACGAACCATAAACATGTCGAAGGATAGCGTTTCGCACTTACCAGTAAAGGGAGACAACACACGACAGCCTGAGGTCGAAGAATCACTCAGAATATTTTTTAAACGGTCCGTGCTTCTTCTCTTATTTGGGGGAGTTTGGAAATCTGATTGATGTTTATTCATGACAGCGCCCAACTTGCTTGGAAGAAATGACTAAGTTTTACAGCATCCAATATGTTTTTTTAGATTAAGGAACTATTGAAAAGACCAAGTTTAACAGCGCCCAACTTGCTTGGAAGAAATGGAATAGTGAGATAAAAATATGTTTTTTGGTGAGTGAGGGAAGATGTAAGGACTGTCTCTGGAGTTTCTAATTAAATTAAAACACTCATAAATGGTATATTGGTACCGTGATAACCGGAGACATTCAATGCCTTGTCTGTCACCACAAATGGTCATTTAATTATTCGATTTAAAAATTAAAATTCGATTTTTAAAAGAAATTCTTTTCCCATCATCCATATTTAAATTCAAAATTTTAAACCATTTCAAATTTCAAATTTCAGATCAGATGACCAATTCAAACATAAAAAGCAATTAAAACAGCTGATTATCCAATTAAAATTTTGAA